CCAAGGTCATCAACTACGTGTTCCTCACTGGCCTGGTCTGTGTGCTAGGCATTGCCGCCAACGTCATCAACATCATCGTCTTTGCTCGACAAGGCTTGCAGGACTCTGTAAACATCAGCCTGCTAGGTGGGGTTATTTGTTTGTATGTTTATTTGTTTGTTTGTTTGTTTTTCATTTTGATGGGAGTGTTTTCTCGGCAAGGGTTGCAGGACTGTAAACATCAGCCTGCTGGGTAGGTTTATTTGTTTGTGTTTGTTCGTTTGTTTGTTTGTTATCATTTTTATGTGAGTGTTTTCTCGGAAAAGCCTGCAGGACTCTGTAAATATCGGCCTGCTAGATGCGTCTATTTGTTTGTTTGTTTGTTCTTCATTTTTGATGGGAGTGTTTTCTCGGCAAGGGTTGCAGGGCTCTGTAAACATCAGCTTGCTGGGTAGGTTTGTTTTTTTAAAAATAATGTTTATATTGGTGTTTTTACGTCCCCATCAACACATTCAGATCATTTAAGAGGCGGGCTTCGACCCTGCCTCTCAGGGCCAACGTCATTAAAATGATTGTGTTTGCTGGACAAGGCTTGCGAGAATCTGTCAACATCAGCTTGCTAGGTGGCTTTAGTTATTATTATTATTATCATTTCATTTTCATTTTAATGTAGTTTTTTTACGCCCTCATTGACACAATTTAGATCACATCTTTAGGAGGCAGGCTTCCTATCCTGTCTGTCAGGGCCAGCCTTGGATGAGAAGGACACACCATCCCAGCAGAAAGGCCGAGATGGATAAAATTTTTCTCTCCCCTCGGGAATCGAGCTCGAGTCTCCTGCGTGCGTCAGCAAAGCGCCTAAACGCTACACCACAGACACCAACAAGGCTTGCAAGAGTCAGAGCAAGACCGATAAACATGCTTAAACACCCACACACTGACACGATCTTTCATTCTTTATAGCTGAGTACCCATTCCTGCGTGCAAGATGCCTTTCTCAAAGATACAACTTTGGGCCTCTGATGGGATTCGAACATACGACCTCAAAGTTTAGGGTGTAAGAGCCTAACCACGATACCACCGACACCACAATTTAAAAACAACAACAATAATAATGATGATCATCATCATTGTGATGCTTCTTCTTCTTCTTCTTCTTCTTCTTCTTCTTCTTCTTCTTCTTCTTCTTC